CGCAGCGTCCGGCTTGTTGTCTTTGATGTAATTTAAATTACAAGTTAAGTTAAGGTAAGTTAAAAGGGGACCTAAGTCTGGAAGACGCTGTTCCAGACATGGCCTAACTCATCCACATTTGATAGATGCATATGAACATCGTACTTATTAATTGCAGTTACACCGAATGTCACAGTGGGAAGGCTGTCGGACCAGCCTTCTGAAGTCTCAGGGCGCCGACCAAAAACGTGTTTAGACTTAGTTAGTTAGTAAGTTAGTTAGTTCTTGTATGAGGAAACAATGTTCTGTTTAAAAACATATTTTACTGTTACATCGGTAATGGGATCCTCGCCGATCACACCATGTAACACATCCTAGGCTCAACGGTTAGGGCGTTGGACTCCTAATCAACAGGTCGCCGGTTTGAGCCTTGCATTCTGCAAGACCTGGGATTGAGTACGGCTAGCTGGTGATGACTGACAGAACACAAATTACCGTTTCCGACTCCCTTGTCTTTTCGGTAATCGCAATACTCAAATGTTTCTGTCGGACCTGACAAGTGAGCTCCCAACGACCTTATTCTACGTACAGTGAAGCCTGTAGGACGAGGTAGGGCTTGATGAGGTTGTTGGTTGTACCTCTTCACGCGTGCCGACTTGCGGTACTAGATTTGTAGAGTTCGGTTTGGTTCCTTTACTGGAGATGAACTCATATATAGAGGGTATAAAAACCTATAGGGGTCTAAGTAGTGACTGTACTCAGAGCACTACAATCGTCAGGCCGCGTCTGGAAAAGACAGAAGGCACCAGACTGATGTAATTATTGTGCACAGAACCCTGAGTTGCTGTCTCAGGGAGTAGTGATCACTTGCGAAGTCAGGGCTAATGTCGACTGTGTCCAGTCGAGCCTGAGAAAGAGTAAGACAGTGGTGGCAGCTGCTTTAACATCAGAAGGCGATAACACAAGCCCCTTCACTTCCGTGGCCGCCACTGACGCCAAGTGACGACCGCATATTGCCCTCACCCCCTAGAGACAGTTGTCTACTCCGTGCAAACGAGAGTAGTTATCACTCCAACGCTTACAACCTATCCTAATTTCCTCCACTTCTCCCCTTCTCCAGCGCAGGGATCTCGACACGCCGATCTCACCATGCGGGCGGCGTGAAATCGACGAGTTGTCATCAAAGGACCCTTATTAACCCTGTCAAACTGTACGATTTCCGCTCTCCCTGCAATTGTACTGGCCCGATAATGAACTGCTGAAGACATATATTCGCAGAACTTTTACAGGACTGTGGAGCCAGTTCAAGCAGTGCGTCATCGGCGTGTTGCATTGCGCATGCGGCGTCGGCCGAGGGATGGCGAGTTCAAATGCCCCTTAAGCAGCCGTGACTATCTTAACGCACGTGTGTGCGCGACTGGAAGCCGGACAAAGGTCTGCCGGTCAGCGAGTCCGAAATAGCTGCCTGCAAAGTTGCATGACGTTGACTCAGTGGGCATTGGACGAGGAAACCGGACATCAAATTTGGCTGTCGGTCAAAACTCATTCATAGGCTTCACACTCCATAATGAGTGAAGTTTCGAGTTGGCCTTCCAATTATCGACCTGTGATTAGATTATATGCGGTCGACAGTGTCGCTCTTTTTCTGCCCGTTTGGCAGTAACTCGGTCACGAAACATCCGAAATTGTACTATTCCTCGACTTAACGACTAATAATCACAACGAGCGTTTACTGCTGACCAGAGCCGGAGGTTGAGGACGCAGCTTAACACCTCAGCCGACTACCAGTTCCCCCTAATGCTGATCAGACTTTGACC